AGTGCTTAAACATGAAAATCGATGTATGTCTTACCAAATCCGACTATATCTACTTATCTCATTGCACATACCTTTTACTCATCTTTGTTGGTCAAGTCAGATAATAGGTGTAGAGTAGGTATATCTGTACGTTTAGTGGGATGAGTGGGGTTTTCTTCATTACAAGAGAAAGACTGCCAGACCGTGAATTCAAAGCGAAACAGTTAACAATTAGAAAGATTAAATGAAGAAGTTGAGAGAAGTACGCAGAGCATCAAAACAAAAAGGTGGTTTTACTTTCCTACAATTCTTAGCCCCACGTTTTTCGAGAGACTCAGGAAACAATTTTTTAAACTAAGGTTGGGACGTTCTTCCTCATCCGGCTTATTAGCTGCTGCCGGCGGCTGTCATTTTTTCGGCCGATCGAAAATAATTGCTAAATAAAATTTGCTTAAAAGTTAAACTATCCTTTATACTAGCAAGAAAATGTTTGTAAATAAAAACAAAACTGACAAATCAGGTACACAATATTATTTAAACTGTTATAATTATACAAAGCTGTAGTAACACATGAACGCTAGTCTTACCGTACCAAACTTAATCTACTACACGAATTCACATTTATAAAAATACAACTGTTTTTTTACAGTCAACTTTTTTCTGTGACAGCGTAATAACTTGCAACAAGAAAAATTGTTTTTAAAAATTAATATGTACCGAGACAATTACAACTTTTTTGTACATGGTATTTTTCAGAAAAAGGTTAAATATTATACATTAATTTCTTGAGAACATAAAAAGTTGAAACTATTATTTGATCAACGTAATAAATTTTACACAATTCTAGCTGATTATTTCTCGAAATGTCCATTCACCAAATTTGGAAAATCAGAAACAAACATACATAAGTACAGTATATCAAGCTAGTCTTACCATACTCGGCAGTTTCTACTTATTGAATGCTTACACATGTTTTCCACCAACTAATAAACTTGATACAGATCTTACAGTAGTTTCTTTTGAAACTTTACAAGAAACGAATGAATCAACGCTCAAGTATTCTCAAATGAAACAACATCAGAGAAGTAGGTACATTAGTCGCGCACTAATGCGGTCTGACCACATCAAACCCTTTCTACTGATTTATGAAGAAGTATTTCGTTTCATATTCTTAGCCACCTTGACTCATTTAAAACACGGTAATTTCGATTTTCATGAGCTACATTGCCACATAGGTCTAGATATTCAGATAAAATCCGAGGCTTCGCTGTCAATCCTATACCATCATCCATCGGCAACGCGTGTATACGTACAGCTAGGCATGGCTACTCCTCTAAAAACCTCGACAATTGAACGTCCACCTCGCGCACTCTTTCTCAAAAGCTTTATTCTCTATCATGGCTTGGCACAACGAGCCTCGTCAACACTACGCTGAACAGCAATTTCCCATCGGTAACCCACCGATCCTCCCACGATTTATCCAAAAAACCGATTGCATTGATTATCTCGAAGTAGCCTGGCTTCGGAAGAGAGTGGCGAGTCGCGCTGGTATGGACGGATAGATATACACACGCGGAGAAGGTAGCTCGGGCCGGTTGTTGGCAAAGACGTAAGACGCGGGACGGATGGCCGGGTAACCCAGATCGGGGCCCCCCTCGAGCCCAACCGATCCGCGCCTCTCTCGGCAGTCCCGCGCCGTCTGCCGCATGGACGATATACCTACTCCTCTCTCTCTCTCTCTCCATTTTTCTCCCTCCGGCTTCTCCCGAGCTTGGTATACCTATTACGCTCGTCGAGCCGGCTGTTCGCGTGCACTTGCTTCACGCGCCTCGTACACGAGGGTTTTCGACTACATCCACTCGTTGCTTACTCGGAGTTTTTCGGAGAGACTTGTCCCGTGTTGTTGTTGTTGTTGTTGTTTGGTTTTTTTTATTACCAATTATTGTCGTTGCTGTTTGGTGGGAGGAACCAATCTAATAGCCCAGGGGATCGAAGACAAGAAGGAATGACCGGTGATAAGGTGAGTGCGCGACTCTAGAAAGTACCACCGCTGCTTGTGTTTCTCGTTTTTTTTTTTTGTCTTTTTTTTCTTCTCCATCCGTACTTAGCAGGTATTCTTACATGGTTCGCAGAGGTGCGAAAGAGAAAAAAAGTCACCTCTTTCACACGTTTTCAACCTGAAAACTGATACCGCGGAAGTACGCGCGTGCGTGAGTGTTGTACGTGTCAGCCTTATTTATTTATTTTTTTTCTTACACTCTCCGTGTGTGCGTGTACCACACACACACGTACGTACGTACCTGCGGGTTGCCAGTTCCGTTGAGCGTGTTATCCCGTTTATTAGCCTCACGTATGATCGCGGCACAGCACGAAACTCTGGGTGTTTTCCTCGTTTACGGTAACGTTGCCTATCAACGAGAAATTCATAACTCTATCGCCATGTAGCGTTTATTGGTGAAAAAAAAGAAAAAAACTAAACAAAACATGTCTAGTCCACAATAGGTGCATCTCTTTTACCACCGAATGGGTGTTAAATATAGCTTGGCGCGTGTTTCTCTTCCGTAGTTTATCACACTTACATATCATTATCGTGGCGCCGAGAGGAGGGAAAACAGGAAAATTGGAAAACAGCCAGGGAGTTCTCCGATGCCAGAAGGACGTTGCACCTGCGATGACGCATTGTCTTTCTCCTTCTTTCTTCTGACACGAATAATTTCATCGCGATCGAGAAAGAGAAGCAAAATAAGTGGGCGTGTGAGTGTGTGTGTCGTGGCAGGGTAGGGGGGGGGGTCCCAAGAGCCGGTCGAGCGAGAGAGTTCGGCGGCGTTGGCCCACTAATATTGTACCCGGGCCGGTTTCGAGTTTCCCGAATTCTTTTGCTGTCCTACATCCCTTTGTGTGTTACACTTTTTTTTTTTTTTCTTTTCATTTCATTTCGTTTCGACCTTGCACTTATTGAGTGTCTTCCTCTCTCTCTCTCTCTTTGTATTGTGCGTTTGGTCGGGAGTCAAATGTGGGTTGTGGATCCTTGAAAGTATCTTTGGACATCTCCGGGTTACCAACTGGTTTTTAAAATTGAAAACAAAAATTAATCAACCACACGGGTATCCGTAATAGGAGGAAACTCATGACTTACTTTTGCGTTTGATAAGACAAAAAATATATAATACATCTGTGTACGTACGTGAAAAAACTTGTTGAAATAATTGTACGCATGTAATTGTAGCTACTCGCGCCTAATTATCCTAACGAGTGTTGAAGCAATCACGGGTACATTTCGCGATGTTATTGGGCCCGTCGTCTAATTAGTCGTAAAAATTAATTGAATAAAACACATGTGGGGCAATTGCGCTGGTCACTGAATTAAATTGCAAAAAAAGCCCCTGTATGTACAGCGCATCAGGAATCCCTAATCGTCGGGCGGATAATAATGCCTAAAACCGGTAAGACGAACTACTACAATAGTAACCGGTTTTTGTACCACCAAAGACGTAGTTAGGTATGTATATGTGTAGACACGCGCGCAATCCACCGTCCAAGCAGATCAAAGTACCAGAGAGCGGTGCACTTGATCTTTCAGTTTTTACTGATAAAAAAAACAGGTGCAAGGCTAAATTAGACAAATGTACAGTTTTCACCTCAACGATCGCACTTCGGTGATTTTTCGTACTCGAGAAAAAATTTTTTTTTTCTCGGGGAATCTCTGGCATCCGATTTCCGGGAAAAAAAGCTAGGATGCATTGTTTGCTTCACTTTCTCGAGCGAGAAAAACAACCGTGTTAATCGAGTTAATTGTAAAAAGCCGACACTCACCCGAGGACGATTTTCCGGTGAAAGTCCCTCGCGCACTCTTGGTTAATAACCGTGGGACCGATCGAGAACAATGGCTCGACTACCCTGTAATTGTTTACGCGATTAAACATTCCTTAGTTTACGTAACGATAAAGCAAGCAGTGCATGCGTCTCAATAACATTTATAGCTGAAATATGCAATCGGCTGAAACGACGAATAAAAACAAGAGGAGCGTAGCAGGTGAAAAGTTCACTGTCACGGATGCAGCGATGACTCTGTTCTTACCTCGCTTACACAATCCGAGAAACCGCACTGCTACAGTAGCAACGTAATCATCAGGAAAAAAATACATGTATATATATATATATACAATACAAACCGCAAATTACTAGTCGAGCTCCCATGCGACATTCATTACGAGTCCCGCTCTGGTGTCGTGGACCATTAGACATCAGCAAAGCTACCTACCGATATACACAAACCTCGTAAGCGTTGTTTCCGCGGAGTTTGGGACAAGATGAGCTTGGGAGCTCGGAGAGACGAACCAAGGCTCATTGTTACTCGCATATTTGTCTTTAAAATATGCATGTTTGTGTTGCAGTATAACTGGGAGTGTAAGTATACTGTTGGATGGATTTTTTTCAGTACAATGGGAATCGCGTTAGTGCGTGTAAAAAAAACTTGCGCGCGAGCTTTTCACGCTGTACAAATTGTCGAGTCAAACAATTGCGGGGTAATTGTACACATACGCGTTTGCAACGTACCCACTTATAATTTATGGCTTTGTGCAACTTCGTTGTTTGTTAGACGTGGAAAAGTCAAGAACAGCCTACTGCCGTTACAAAATTTTACAGTCACGTGCGATTTGACGCAAATGTGGGTGCTAAATTAAGTCTTCTTTAAATGGTAGAATTGTTGAAACAACCATCACGATGGAGGATGATTTATGGACATTTCATTCATCATCGCGTCAATGCTTTTTCTCTTTTCTATAGTTAATAAAAATGTGAGGTATAATATCAAGTGGTCCAAGTGAAGCAAAAGTATCAACTGTTTAAAAATACTTGCGATGAAAAAATAATATCCAGTATATGAGAAGCTAGTGAGAGCTTACTCGATTCTATAAAATAAGTGACTCTCGTAACTTTACCTGCCCCTTGATTGTCCACAGGAGCCAAAAAGATCGTAGTCCTAGGAAGGAGTCAGGTGGCGGTGGCGGTGGTGTAGGATGCGGCGCTGGTGGAGGAGCCGATTACCGGTGCTGGTGCTGATCGCCTCGTACGCGGCGGCGGCGGCAGTGGTAGCAGCCTTTGAGCCCCGGGTCGGTGGCTTCGGGCGTTCCATTGATGTCGGCGGCTTCGATAACAACATCGAGGACGAGGTGGAATCGTGGCATCCCCACGCGGCGCCCGGCAAACCGAGCAAACTCGACCTCGATGTCAGCCAGTACACGGAGACGGATGACAAGGGCATGTTCGAGCTTGAGAGCCAGGGGCTGCATGCCGAGGGGATGGGAGCTGGGGTGGATGAGGTGGGTTAACTCGAGAAATGCAAAATGTTTAAAAAATCTCTAATAGAATAAAATTAAAAACTAGACTCAAGTGCGAGAATGTTGGCGCATGTTGAGCACCTGTGACTCATAGAAATGAGTCTTTGAAAAAGCTTATTGTTCTCACGAAGTGAAGTCAGTCAGAAACGGTACTTACGTTCATCATGTTGAACAAGTCGTGCCAATTTTTTAAAAAGCGCTATCCGTTGAAATTTCAAATGTGAACGTAACGTGCCTTTTGCCGATTACAAATACAATTTTAAAATATAGATTAAGTGCCAAAATAGCCAATTATTATAAATTTGATCTTCATGATTTCGTAAATCATTGTCTTATAAATTTTCCTTTTTAGTACAAATACTGTGTTGCCCTTGTAAAAAAAAATTATATGTCTAAAAAAAAAAGGCTAAAATATAACAATATAATTGTGCAACACACTATGACGTTACTGAACAAGAAAATTTCTATCTGAGCTACTAAGTCACTGACAAGTATTTATAAACATTGCAAAACGAACCAAATAAAAGGATGCAGAAACGTCGACGACAACGACGGAGGCAACGACCGCGAACTCGGAGAAAACCGACAGGGCTGTGAAGTGCGACGATAAGAGCGTATCAGTGAAGTGCATTGAGAAGAGAATCGATACTTTTCTTCGGACAATGTCGACGGTCGATACGCTAAACGTCACCGATTCCGTGCAAATCGTCAAGAGGAGCGACGACGGTGGCATCACGAGGCTGGAAAGTACCAATGACACCGCGAACGGCAGCGTCGACGCGGTATCGCTGGTTGACAGGATCCGCAGGTTTGCCCGTGACCACGTGGTCGAGATCAAGCTGTCGAAGGACATGTTCTCGGCCCGCCGAGCGAGGACCTTCTTTGGGGGTGAGTACCACCCTTGATTCCTTTTGGCGGATCTCTATGGCTTTCCGAGGTGGTGCGATCGGCAACGTGGACGCTTATTTTGATTGCTCTTTTTTTCGATTTGAAATCTTCAATCTTTGATCTTCTTAGGATTTTCAAACGAAGTAAGAATCAATGTTTTTGCTCTTCTACGTCAACTGTATTTTTAAAATACACTTGACCTCATTTTATTGAAATACTTAATTTTGTAGCAATTATTTGATGATCAAAATTAAATATTCGTTACTTCGTTACTAGCAGATAAAAAAAAAAAAAAAAATGAAATTTATCGAAAAATCATAAAAATATCTATTAAATTGTATTTTGCCCGTCCAACGTCGATCGAACGAAAAATACAACCTATTACACTAACAGACGCATGACACGCGAAAAAAATGAGCTTAAACTTTATTCCTCTACTGATAAACATAAAATGTACCTTTAAAGCTTCCAACTTTCTGTAATTGGCTTCTCCTTCTAATAGGTATCTAAAATCTGCCTACACGCATAATAATAATAATAATGAAAATTATAAATCGCTCTAATCAATTTGTTGCTTATACCTACTCGTGAGCACGGAGCTACCAATAATCGGCCAATTATATGCGAAATGGTAAAAATAACACAGATAAGCTGGAACGGGTTTGTGACTCTATTGACTATAGGCCAAATACTATCTTTACTTACACGTACACCGCAACAATCAGCCACCATCACCACTAATACAATTGAGACTATGTTGTACACTCTACTGTCACAATTGCTGCAATGGCATCAGCATCACTGTTACTGGAGTGTATACTAATGGTACGAGCTTCACACCTGCCTTTGGCGAGCTCCACTCGCACGAGCTGACTTTCACCGAGCAAACCTGACACAGATGAGAGGTCTCTCATCTCGGGATGACGTAAACGGAGCCGTGAGAATTTAGGATGAGACAAACTTTTTATCGAACGTTGATTTTTTTTTTTTTTTTTTTTTACTCCACTTGTATAAAGTAAGTCAAACTGGCACTAAGTGCGTTAAGTGTGCCAAAAATTTTGTTAACAATTAATCAACTATATAATCGTATACCAGTGATTATGGTCTTTTGAAAAATATAGATTTATTTATATTGTTGGGCCCGGCTCGAAATAGTTGTTTTGATAAATATCTATTCAAGGTTCTGAGAGAAGAAAAAAAAACCTTGTCTAAAGTAACGTCTTACAATCAATACAACTCTACTTGTTACCATATACGAATATGGAATCATTGAAATTTCCACAGTAATGTCCATCACTATTTTGATTGCAGTGGATTTGGAGTTGAAACCCAATCGATGGGTATGTAGAAACTTTAACTCTGTCTTTTAGACTACCAAATCTGTGGTAGAATTGATATTTATTTCAATTTATACAGATGATATCAAAACGAACGATACGTTATTTTATTTCATTAATTTTGATTCAATGGTCAGTTGGATGAATATTCCGCGAAAAAGGTACTTTCTCGAAATAACGTAGCACGCACGACCTTTAATATGTAGACTGATTTAACGGTTTATTTCCGCTCCACAATGTAGGCGATAAATTACTATCCCACATGTTTTATTCATATCTCGAAAACAGAAAAGTCATATATTCTAGGGTTAAGTTGATTCATTCGATTTAACAAATAAAATAAAATAAAAAAAATAAAAAAAGTTCGTACTCCAAATCAGCAGGATAAACAAAATACACATAATTTTGTAATAAAATATCAATCAGCTTCAGACAGATGGAAAAAAAAAACACGAATGATAATTGACCCAGATCCGAAAACTCGTTTTATCCTTAAAAATAGCCTTCACGATAGACAGGTACTCAACTTCCGTTAAAATAAATTCGTAAAACCGGTTCCATTACAAACCCTCCGAAAAAAAAAAAAAAAAACAGCTACGAGATCTGGTGACCTCTTGATCCCAAAAAAAGCCACCCAAAACGGGAAAAAAAAAATCCAAGAAACGACATTACCACGACCATCACATAACATCGGCGGCATGGCATGCGGATGATAACTAATCAGCATCGCTTTAACAGCCTGGTCTCGTTACCTTTTGCTTTCAGCTGAATTTCAGGCAAAGAATACCTTTTTAACAGGCTTCGGGCTTGGTTTTCTAGCGTTCGGCTTGAAAAAGCTCTTGCTGCCACTCTTCATTGGCGTCCAAATCATCAAGAGCATCCTGATCGCTCTGTTCCTGCCCAGCATCATCGGCAGCATCGGCAAGATCGTCGGCAAAGGTCAGATTTTATTTGCGTTATTTTTCTGCCACACGGAACAATTTGCGGTCTCTATGGAATTTGTCGTTTAAGTACATTGAAAACAGTAAGCCTTGCCGTTAGCTTGTACAGAGTAATTCGTTTTTTTTTTTTTTTTACCCAATTTCAAAACTGTAATGTTTGTAAAATCAATTTATAACCCACTATTTTTTTACTCGCGATGCTTTCTCTCGACGTTTAAAATAAATCCTTTTATGGTCTATCATTATTAGCACTATACTGTTACAATACACGTGACTCGATTTACCACGCGTATATGATATTCGGACGAGTCACTAGAGTAAGATCGGATATCGTAAACTCCACATACCGATTGAACTACCGAACCAACTATGATTGTAACAAACATGAATGTATGAAAATTTTACAATGCATACTAGTAATATTTACCTCCAACAATAGCAAAGTTCCGACGAATCGCTTACAGCACCGAACGCACTCCAATAAACACAGACCAGTAAGCAAAGTAGACTATCGTCGTACAACGTAGACACACTAGCGCGCAAAAAAAAAAAAAAAAAAAAAAGTCAAATCAGCCGACGCGTGTCGAGGGGGTCTTACAAGCCGCGCGCGTCTAATGTCTACAATCAAGTCCATGGTGGCCGCGCATAAGCCGCACCATCATCACGAACAACAACAGTAGCACAGCGCGACAATGATCGCAAAGTGCATTGACATTGGCCGCTGCGCTCTCATACGCTTAACATGACGTACGCGTATCGGCCTCCTCCCAAGACTATAATATTATGTCAAACAACGCTCGGAACTTTCTAATTCACTGGCCGAACGGCATAAGCATCCGAGTCGCGTATACACACGTGTATACTGTAATGATGACACGTCCGCAGGTGTGACCTCGTTCGCGCAGTCGTCGCAAAATCCGGCCCAGCAGATGGAGGAGAACTACGAGTTCAAGGACAACCAGGAGTTCTTCGGGGAGGATTACATGCAGCGCCAGCCCCTCGGCACCCTGCCCGCCTCGGTCATGTACGAGGAGAACATGCTTCAAGCCCAACAGACCAACAACGTCAACAGCCAACCCCAGCCAACGGCGGCCGGCGCCAACAAGGAGGTAGTCTCGCGTTTTGGATTCGTCGATCCACGGCTCACGGATCGTTACTACACGCGCCACGTGGTCAATCCACAGGCCACGAGGCAGGACTTCAAGGCAAGGAGGAAGCTCCTCTTTTTTTCTTTTTTACCCGTGCTTGCGCTCACACGAGTTACGCGTTGTTTGCTCTTCGGCGCATGTGCAGGAGAACACAGTTATTCCTTTACCTCCGTGCCCGTTTTTGCACTGTTTCTTTTTTTTTTTTTTTTTCTTTCACTCCTCCTCACCGCTTTACTTATTTTCCTTCCGCCTACGTACGCACATTTGATGCGCCTTTTATAAAATATACATTGGGCACGACTCGTGATCGAGAATAAATTTAACGGTTCTTATTTTTTTTTTTTTTTTATCTGTGCTTTGACCTGACTCTCCGTTAGCGTGTACGGTCGAGTGATGCGTGTCCGTGGCGTACGGGAGCTTTTCACAAAGTTTTATCGGTCTGAATGGAAATTCGAGCCAGGTATATGTAATATCTAAGTCGGAGTGATCGTAGATGAATATTTAAGAGCTTGGATCGAGTTGACGGGTGTGCTCGCGAGCGGGATTATTGGGACTGGAGTTATTATTTTTTTCTTTTTGTCTCTAAGAACACAGGATCACGACATGAAATAAGTTAAAAGTTACTCTGATATCCTAAACAATCTATGAGGTAAAATTTTTTTACATTTATTCACATAAAGATTTATAAAGTGATAATTGAGTGCTCGAGTAACAACATTCTAAGACCTAGTTGCAACGCCTCCAAATACTCAGAAAACATGTAAACACTTCAGAGTATTCTTTGACTTATTCTACTTGGTGGTCCCATGATAATCGATACAGTATTTTTTTGTTCCCAAGTCACTTTGGCGATGATGCAAAAAAAAAAAAAAAAAAATTTGTTTAAAAAAAATCACATCCACCTTACAGGTCTTCCACGAGATCCCGACGAGTTCTCTGCTGCTGACCAACTACGACCCGTACTACTCGCCCCTGCTGTCGCGCATCGACTCCATCTTCTCGCGGCTGGGCTACAACACGGAGGAGTGCCGGGAGTACTTGGTCTGTGCCATGTACCGCAACCCGGCGCGTTTCATGCCCTCCTCGAACCTCGTCTCGACGCAACTGTCCCGAGAACTGAACGAGCTGCGCAAGCCGAGCGCCGATAACCCGGAGGTTCTGCGCTTCTTCCACTACATGAAGGCTGCCAAAGACGGCCAGGATGGCCTCTCGTGCCAGGACATCTACGCCAACTGCGAGGACGCCGAAAATGACACCATCAGGCAAAACCAGGCGATGCTCGCCACCTACCAGGACATAGACAAGCTCGTGCACGCGAGAAAGCTCTAGGCTTGGTGTTGTTTTGTTTGTTTGTTACTCTTGACGTCGCCAAGAGATGAAAAGTACGAGTCGTGAGTCGATGAACTTTTTGCTCCCGCGACACTACAGGAGGTTGGGAAGATGTGCCTTTTTTTCACGCTTCAAATTGACAAGTTGCTCATTGACGAGTGAGCCAAGCTTTCTACTTTATCGATTTATCGAAACGATAATAACATCGTTGTAACGTCAGCTTGGAATAACTTTGTGACTGCGTTATTCGTAATTTTTTTTTGTTGCTATGAAACATGAATGGACGAAAGTGCAGATGCTATTGAGTCAAAGAGTTTTATTTTATTTGACAATAAATTGTTGCTGCTCTTGTGATTTCATACGTAAACGAACAAATTATCATCATACAATCACAATTTACGTTAATTTTTAAGAATCAGGTACTTGTGTGCTGACGTACAGAGAAAAATTTAATCAAAATTTTAGTAATTAAATAATTATTTGCCATGGTGTACTTGTTTAATACATTTTTTTTCCTTGAATACCAGCTCAAGGCTATGAAAGATTATTTGTTGAAGTATATGATTTAATAGGTAGGCATCCTTATTGAAAAAATTCTACCTAAGCTTTTTTGTCACGATATTTAGCTGACGGATAATCAAAAGTAAAATAAATGATTCCTCGAGGGTACTATGATAAGATACTTGTAATCGATATGTATGATTGCGTGGTAATAATTAGGTATTCCGTAGAGATTGACATATTATACGTGTAGTTGCTAGAGCTTAAAACAAATATTTTAACGTGCGAAGGAAAATAAAAATGGAAGTTTGATCAAATTTGTAACTAGGGCTTTAAAATGAATGTAAGCTGTAAGATCTTACAAGGATTGAGTTTCTGAAAAATTAATTTTTTTTTTCTTCTGAATGTTATACAATCGTTAATTACCACGATTAGTATGACTAATTTATTAAAATTACTTTAAAACAGGGAAACAATTCTTTTTCAGATGCTTAAATCCTGCAGTATCATGCAAAAGATTTTCGTTTTAATTTATTAATTTTTTGTTTATTTATTTTGCTTGTTCTTATTTATTTGTGTGTAATTTATTCCGTGTGTATTGAAGATATGAGCGTTACATAACCATACCACTACCATATAAGCTAATTAAATATTATTTATTGATAAGTCAACTTCATGGTAAGCAACGATTGATCAATGAATCATTACAATTGTAATGATCGATCACAGGTGTACAGTCAATTGAACATCAAACATTTGATGCTTCCAATGTTAATAAAGTCACAGTTTATAGTTAATGCAAAATCAGAGTTTAGTTTCATTTTTTACATTACTACTTATTCCGTCTTGCTATGAATTATAATAAAAAATTATTTTCATGTGTAAACTAAATGCTTGGTAAAAATAACACGATAATTAATCGTAATATTTTTTCTAACTTTTCACGATTACGTTACTTATCTTTTTTTATCCAGTTGTTGTTTCAAATTTTGATTTATAATCAATTATCTCAGATAGAAAAAATATGTTGAACAATGAACCTGAAGAGGCTGGAGAAATCCGAGGTCAATGAAACCATTGTGCTGATGATGTGTTCGTCGGCGGGACTTTCTTATGGAAAGTATAAGGATAATATTTCCGTATGCTCTGACAAAGCTCTTAACTTTCAGAATTTTAAAACATCGTAAAAAAAAAAAAAAAAAAAAAATTAAATAAAGAAATAAATAAGTTTTTTAAATTGTTTTTTCATGTTTGCAACATCGTAAGATAAAAATCATGTAAGAATATCTTTTAAATAGTATTATTGCGTCTTGTCACTTTCTCATTACGAGTCAAATAAAGCAAGAGCGTGTGTTATATAATATGAAATAGTCGGATAAAGGTGTTGTTACGTGCTATCTTAGATTACTCTTTAGAGCAAAATTATGAACATGAATTGCAAAATCTCTTGAAAAACGAAACAATGTATACTTATTAAGAGCGAAATCCTCAAAAGACCAAGCGAATATGTTGCAAGCCTCATCTTACTTCCACTTCTATTGTGTGTGGTGCCATGTTCCGGATCCGAATCTCGGAAGATTACTTTCACTCTCAATTTTTGTTTCAGCACCGTGACGCAAATGTACGTAACTTCTGTGAATGAGCTCCCTTACCTCATAATTTTTATTATTTTTTTCTTTTCACAACAAAAAATCATTCGCGTGCTCTCTCTTTTCGTCCCTTTCTCACAGGTCATTTGTATAAAATCCAGAAGTAAGAGTAACGCGCAGGTAGAACCTCACTGACCATCCCAACGATCACTCCAAATTTTTTTGTCTCAATACGTAAGTTTTTAATAATTATTAAAATAAATTTAATATTTTAAGTAACAGTGAAACNAACATAATTTTTTTTTTTTTAATATATGAGGATTCATATTTTATTTTTAGAATAAAAAATATTTGCTATATTTTTCTTCTAAAAACTAACAAAATTAATGGTACAAGTTACCAACAAATCGTCTCCTGAAAATAATATTAAATGATTCTTATGAAAAAATTTAATTTCATAACTAAACAAATTTTTACCTTAAGTTAAGTGGATATTCTAAAGTATGATATTCATTAATAAAATTAAAAAAAAACATTTTTTAAAGTTATTCAATTTCATAATTGAATTAAAATAGTATAAAAGTTCATCAATAACCCACCTTGGCATTTACAATAAATCTAGAGGCTGAGACAATTAAAACAATCATTGGCTCATGTTGATTTTTTAATAAATAACGTATTTTGAAAGTTGAAATTAATATTTTTTAATACTTAGTTGCACGACAGCTAACAATCGTGCTTGAGTGTATAAAATTATAGTGAAAGTGATAATTGTAATGTGGTAATGTTCATTTTTCCGATATCGTCATATAAGGTAATATTTAGATTGTCATGTGTAAAGTACAGAGAGAAATACACTTTTTTCTTTTCAAATTAGCACGTGTCAAATTTTAGGTCACATAAAGAGTCGTAAAAGTGTCATTGTGTGTCACGAATGTCCTGCTCGCAAAATAGAAATTAGCATGGTATGAATAAAAATAGGAAAGTATAACTGTGAAGTTGGCAAATCTCATTTTTACGGACAACTAATTTAGCACATCCTCATCAGAGAAATATGTATTTATTGATTTTCGATATTCAAATTCTCAACATAACAGTATTTGAGTAATTCTTGATTAATTTAACTACATACTTCAATCAAGCCTTCATCTTCACATACCGTAACACATTCGAGTCACTGATGCGTCAGGAAAAAAAGGAGAAAAAAAATAATGTTTACCGAACAAAGGCTCGTCAAATAAGAATTCCGTCGAAGCTCCGAGAAATACCCACGGAAGACCGCAAAACGTAACCGCGGGCGGGTCCCTCTCGAGTCATCCGTCCGGTGGCCCCTCGCTCCCAAAACGGAAGTAGGTCAACCGAAGGTAACCCATTGGCCAAAGAACACCGAGAAAAAAAAAAAAAAAAAAAAACAGAAGAAAAATAAAAAAAATCCAACCGAAAGCCTCAACGTTCAGTGAAATCGGTACCATCGCATACCTGTACACCCAAGAAAACGACGAGCCGATCGGCACGTGCGCCCGAATACCCGGGGAGAAAGAATAATAAGTAACGAGACTCCGGTTCCCGCCGCCCATCACCTCATCGTATTACGTGCGCGGGTGTCTGCGTCTCTCCGTGTGCGCGCGCACGCTAACGGGAATCGTTTACTTATGACTTTTGAGGTCCTCGAGCAGCAGCTGACTCCGGCACTCTGCACCAACTGAGTGTGGATTACACCGTGCGGGCGAGTAGCTCACCAAAGCTGCGAGTGGCAATTACGCGTCTGCACGTGCAGGTGACAGCAAGTGCCTTTTCGTCCCGCGGTTGAGTTAACTGTTGGGCCTCAAAAGAGGAGAAATATGACTAGACGTGCCGGTAAGACGTAAGTGTGGCTGTCTGTTTTTTTCGTGAGTGAAAATCGGTAAGAGTTTCGGGAAGCTTCTGAATGTTTGAATGGTTCGTTCGAGCGGCTGATCGGTAGAATTTTCAGCGAAATCGGTTGCGATCGGTATTGATGAAAATCTGATTTTCGCGCTCTTAACAAAATCAGTTCAAGTAAATCGTTCCCCGGCGATTAATTTATACGTTAGTGCGTCTTAAGCTCGCACCGAGTGAAAATTGGCACTTACAATCGTTTGTACGCGCGTACGTACTATTAGGCGTCGTAAACGCGTGTTTCATTGAGCAGAGGCGCGCGCGCGTGAGAGAGAGATCGGTAGCAGCTAATTACACCTAAAAACCTGTTGCGATCGCGACGCACATTGTACAAATGCGCTATCCGATGAATGAAGCGGAAGAAAGAAAGAGAGGCACTATTAGTAAAGGCTGCGTATATGTATGGACGTGCTGCGATGAAAACGTGTGTGCACCTCTCGCGGAGAAAGGTATCATTATTGGCCGTACTCGCGGCTTGAACCCACTTAACCGGTCCCATTTCCACTTCCTTTTGTAAATAAAAGCCACGCTATGTAAACTGTTTTCTCGAGTTACTCCATGCCGATACTGCCGGGCTTTCGATCATACTTTGGTATACAATGTGTAGTTACAAAGAGTTTGATCGGTAATGGATGTGCTGGTTTTGGAGTGCTGGAGTGTGTGTGTGAGAATAAATAAAACGTCAATAAGTATGGGCAGTTCGGGTGACACTTTCGATTGAGGTTTGTTATGTTTTGCATAAATTGGACTTCGGTCTTAACGGCTTAATAAAATAAATTAAATTAAATTGTTTTGCATAAAAATTTCATACTTTTTACACGAGTAGGAGTAGCATCTTTTAAAATTAGTTATAAAACATGATTAGTTGCTCAAAAAAAAAAAAAAAAAAGTCATTTAAGTAATCAAACATTATTTTGAACGATTTCACATTACAAACAGGATGTATTAGACTAAAATTAATAAATGGACATTGGAAAAATTGCAAGAGTTGAATTGTTGTTTAAAAAGATGATATATTTACAGGAGAAAGGAGGCGAAGGTAGAATGAGACACAACCCGCTGCCGATAACGTTGGTCCTCGTGTTCGCGGTAACGTGGCTCTGCGTTACCGGTGACAAGGTTACCTTCCAGGATGATGTCGGCGAGCGAGCGCCAAGAATCGGTAACGTTGAATTAGAAATTTTTTGGACTTATACAATTTCGTAAGAAAATTTTCTAGTTGACCATGAATTACAAAAATGTTTTGAAATATTTTTAAAAATAATTAAATGTGATAAATTATTTTGAATTAAAAAAAAAATTTTAATCCCAGTTTACACATTTTTTCCGTTTATTTCTCTTAATCTTCATAATTTATTAAAATATATTAAACCTAACTATATTAGATTGAATTGATTCAAATGTTTTGGTGATTGAATTAATTTTATATTTTATTACACAATTTTTTTTTATTTGTCTTTGATTCAAAATAAGAAAACGTCATTCAAAAGGAAAAAATACCATTTGAAGAATAAACCCATTACAGGATAGTAATGTAAATGCCACAAAAAATTACATAAATAACAACTGTGCTTTCAAAATAATATTAATCAAATGAAAAAAAGTTCCAGGCATCCAACTGTCGATCGACGAAGCGCCACCGGGTTCAGAGGCCAGGCAGAGGTCGAACCAAAGTCGTCAGGGCAAGGACCTGCTGGACTGGATCGGACTGGGCACCGGCCAACACGTGGACCCCTACTTGGCCAGAACAAACGAAGCCTGCCTGAACGGCGACTTTGCCGAGTGCTTCAAGTCCCGAGCTTTGGGCACATTTGCCGATTTCTTCGATCGGCAAAAATACGACTTGAACGATAACGTGAAGATCGTGAGGATGCCCAGTGAGGTCGTCGAGGCTGTGAGCAGACAGTCTTACGAGTTTACGACTTCGGCGAGGTAGAATTTTTTTTCCTTTGAACATTACTCTCGAGAAACTCAATTCTTCCCACAAGAGTCGAAATTCGATACAACTTAGTAAAATCCATAAGCATACTTTTTGAAAATCTTTTTTGTGTCATGCTCGAAAAAAAATCTTTAATATTATCTGCTAGAATAATTTTTTCGTCAACTATGTGATCCAACATTGATGTTACGTGGTTGTCTTAGCTCACTCGATATAGATAACACGAGTGATCAAAAGCGGTGGGGGTCGAGAAACATAAAATATCACATGATACCTCTAATACACGTACAGAAGGACAGTGATGTTGAATGAATTACTTTATAACAATCAATTACATGTCAAGCATAAGCAATCGTTACAAAATAAGTTTTTTTTTCATTCTTGATAGATCCGATGAATCGGAATGGGATCAGTTGGTGAAGTTCGTCATGAGAAAAACGGAGAAATTCATCAAAACTACAGCCATTGAAGTTGACGTACCTGCCTGGTTGACAGGCGAAAACGAAGTATACGCACCTAGATTCATAGATGAAATTGCCGACGAAATCGATACACTGGAGAACAAAAAAGACACGTTATTTTGTAAGCTCACACGTCCATACTCTCATTTTCACTTGAATTTTCAAAATCACAAGCAGTAAAAAAAAAAAAAAAATTTTTCAGCGAGAAATCGGTTGAAGAGGATATTCATCCCCATGCTGATAATACTCAAGCTGTTTAAGCTCAAGCTCCTATTGTTCCTACCGCTCATCCTGGGCCTGGCGTCCTTCAAAAAGTTCCTGGGCTTCATAGCTATAGTGATCCCGGGACTGATCGGTTTTTTCAAGCTCTGCAAGCCGCTGACCCAATCCTACACGCCACCTGTTTATTCACCAAGTGGAATCGGCTTTCCACCCGGTCATTTCAAGGAAAATCACGGATACAACGATCACGACTCGTATCATCCGGCAGGATACTCGAGTTATCAGGACTCGAATTACCAGGGTAGCGATAACGTCAATTATGCCCACGATTTGGCGTACCAGGGCTATCGAGATTACCAAAAGTAACGTAGAGTCTAAGAATAAACCAGATAAATCCAAAATTGTGACTAGATTTTGAAAATTGAACTTATACTGGATATCAGCATAAAATTAAATCAAACAATACGGACGATTATTATAATCTTAAAAAAAAAGATGGCAAGAGTACTTATGTAAAATATGGGTGGTTTAAACATATTTGTATTTTGTAAAAACATCTGTATAATATTGTACAATAGTTGTGTAACTTACTTCGAGTTAAGTTACTTTTTTATAGAAGCTCTTTGTACAAATGTGCTTAGCTAGTTTTAAGAAAAATCGTTAATAAGTTTGTAACCAAACAAAGTTAAGATATAAGTTTTTACCAATTTCTTAGGCATATTGATTTGTTGGCTATTATTTTCGTTACTTTACGTTGTAGGATTATTTATTAACTATTTATTGCCATGAGAAGTGACCTTAATTGAAAACTACTGTGTGTAAAATATACTTTGTTGTTTCGAAAAGTTTAACCATAAAGAGGTACATGAAATAGTTACCCTTTACATCGTTATCTGTTATTTTTTAAAGTGTAAGTAAAAATTTTGTAATTTAATACGAAATAAAAAATATCCTCATTTTTTCACTATGTACATAATATAGTATGCATTTAAATAAATTCGTACAGTTTGGCAAAATAATGTTTACCACGTATAAAGATTTGTTAAATAAAATCCGAGGATAAAGAGCTGAGATTGAATAATTGACTAATGACTCTTCAATTTATTTATAGAGGAGATTATAATTTTTACTGTGCTCCACAAAGCTCGTAGTGTTTCACTTTGAGTATGAGCCCATACCAAACCAAATGAAATTTTTAATTTATCTCAGTGGAATAATCTACATAACCAAGCTTTATTTTTTTTAGTATAAATATGGTTACATATTTTTAAAACACAAAAACTTCAAATAGAAATAAATGTGCAGTAATAAAGTATCTGAAATCTCCATCACCATGTGTACAAATTAACAGCTCATCATCAGATTACGCGTTGTAAAATGTTGGTTTACGATGGCTAAAAACTACCAGTAATTAAATGAACGACGCGTTGTAAAAGTGTAGAATCGTGTACTATGCAAAACGCCGTAGATGTAAAAAACAAGGGGAAAAATTCTCATCAACTCCATGAAGGGGCCATTAAACGCTTTACGTATCGCGTGAAGAAAAACAACACAATGAAGACGTAAAAACGTCCTCTCAGGTACTTAAAGCACACCATCCATCATCGTAATGACGATTCTCTCGATGCAACCACTCGAAGCCGTAAGTATCAAGCTCAAAAGGATGAAAAAAAGGGACGATTTCTCTCACACGTATAGCCTCGAAGCGCGATTGGATACACGCCGGGCGGAGTCTCGAACTGGTCGCCGCGACTTTCTTGCTCCAGGGGGAGGCTGGCGTAGATCTTAAAAATCGGCAAAGAAAAGCTTCAGGTGAACTAGAAGATAATACGGGTCCCAGGGAGAGTCGGAGAGATATACGAGGGCTTTCGATTCGTTACGTGTGCGGCACTGCTTCGGTGATTGGGAAAAATACGCGGACTGAAAATAAGAACGAATAGATATGGCTGGTTTACTTTGGGTTGGAATCGAAAGTTGTTCTATGCCACGAGGTGATGATAAGGTTTCGGTTTTGTTTCTTTTCTTTTCTTTTTTTGGTGAACGAATATCGTTAGTTCAGGTTGTCGTGTGTGGTTTTATTCGAGAATTTACATGATTTCGTTGATACTTCTGATGGTGCATCGGGTACAAGCTTGAGCACGGATATTTATTCGGTTATTTTTTTTAACACAATTTTTCGTTGAAAGTTTAATGCATTATTTGACCTACTAAATATATTTTCAAGCAAAAATAATGAATTACAATTTGAAAAAAAAAATAATTGAGGAATAAATTAGTCAAACTATTTAAAATATTAGAGTTTAAATATTCGAATTGCAAATACTTTAAAATGAACTTTAATGTCTACAAAATGTATTGCACTCATTTACCAGGAAAAAAAATGTTTTTTGTTTTTTTATTGTGTATTGTGAATAATTAATTCATAAATGATTTATTTTGGAGCAATAAGAATGCTTTTCATTAGGAAAAAAAATTTCATCACTTTGGTACATCAAACTGTACGATTATAGATTCGAAAAAAAAATCTAAAGATTATTTTGGTGTTTTCACATGTGAAATCTTACGTAGATGTATATTAAATGTAAAATAAATTAAAAAATGTGGTCCTATGGTGTAATTGATTGGTGATTACTCTGGGCTCTGAATCCAGTGATCCAAGTTGGAGTCTTGGTGGGATCTTTTTTTTCTTTTTTTAAATAGAAATTTTGTTACATAAAAGTAAAATTAGTCGTTGAATCAGACAAATATATTCTTTTCAAAACTCAAAGTGTAATTCAAGAGAAATCTCTATACAAATGTACATATATTGTACTTTACACGACCAAAGGATGTTTGTATTTCTTTTTTTTTTTTTTTTTATTCTATCCTCGAAGAAGCCGTTCGAATAAAAAGCATTTCCTTCCCAACACTGAGCAATTAATCACTTCCAGCGAACAAAGTCGGCGTGCTTATCCACGTATGTGCAATTCAAAACATTAACCTACAAAATTTATAAGGCAAGCCATGCCTTATTGTTTACACAAACCACCCGTTCCTAACTGTCCGTGTCGCATTTAAATAGCGTTGAAATATACCAAGTAAGTACGTACATCTTTTTTTTTTTTCTTCAGTTTATTTTTAATTATTTATAAAAAGGTGAATAAAAAATAAATTCTATTGCTCATTTAACGCTTAAAAAAATATAAATGATGATACGAGCATGTAAAATTTAAAACAAATTAATTTACTAATTTCAAAGTCAAATTTACAAATCCCAGCGATCACTCACTTGGATTTTTTAAAAGATCGAAACGCAGCTAAAAATAAATAACAAGATTCGGAAACAAGACCCTCGTGTAAGCGAGTGCACCTCGTTGCGTTTGATTTATGCCTTACCTAATTTCCCCCGATGGCAGCAGCAACGGAGCCGTGATTCCCCTTCCCCCCTCGTAATTACATACCCGTGAAAAACTCGGAGAGCTTTCAAAAATTTCGACCCACATTTTCGAGCTCGTGCACACAAGCATGTAGTCTCTCCACACACTTGGTGACTAAAAAAATTTTCATTCTCTCTCCCAAGAAAAAAAAGAAAAAAAAAAAGAAAAGGAGAAACATTTCTATTCACAAATTTTTTCCTTATCTCCTTAATAGGCATAATCACAGACAGCAGGTAGTTTATCAGAAGTAGCTGTGAGAACAAAAAAAAAAAAAAAGGCACCCATGGCGGGCCCACTTTCGCGGCGCTACGCACATAATCGCGGCTCGATATTTGGCCTCGATTATGCTCGCGATTTTCCGTCGTCTAATTCCGCCCGGCTGTATACAGCAATAAACGCACACGAGCCGCTCTGAATTAATATACCACAGCGAGCTATCGGGGTCACTTGGGCGCTAAGGTAAACAAAAGATGCGGCGTATCTGGTGCCTTTATGCCTGCATTGATTTTATTTCGAGTTTATTAGAGGCTCGGTCGTGCAATGAAAAGTATAATATTCATCTGTAAGGTGACGAATACATTAGGTTTCTTGTTTTTACTTACATTTTCGGATACCTGTACGAAAGAGGACGACAGTAATTTGTATGATTTATGGAGTGTAAGATAAATGAGCATTAATTCTTGTAGTATGACAGCATTATGATGAAAAAAGTGAAGTGCGTAGTTGGTGGATGCTACTTCATGAAAGCATTGACGATGATTGTTGAAAACTTGTAGCTTGCTGTGCGTTACGCATATGTACAGTTTGTCGACGAACAAAAAAAAAAGTGTTAAAGACGAAGATAGGAATTTTTTATTGTTATTCACGGGCAAAAAAATAATCTGATGCGTGACACAACAACTATGCCGTTGAATGTGTATTTTTTTCCTGTAGTGAAAGTCATTGCTGTCAAACGGTTGATTTTTTTGTTGTTAGCCACAAGTTTTTGTTTCGTATGAAAGTATTGGGTTTAAAAAACCTCAAGATAGTTGTATCGATTATTCTTCATAAAATTTACAAGGAATACGTTTAGAAAAAATTTTAATTCATGATGGGTTTGAAAAACATTCCACGACTGTATCCTTCACGTTAAAGTAAATCGGCCGTTCCCATTCACAAGCGACGAAAAAAAGGGCCCATATCCAAGAAAGTCCCGCAAAAAAGCCTCTCACCTTCAACACAATACCGCAAAGTCACGAAACTCACGCACGTGATTTAATAAATTTCACGCAAAATCCACGTCCCACCGTCCACGCGCGTAAGTTAAACCAAATCTAGGTCACGGTCAACGAGTTCCCGGGAAAACTCGGCCAGATCGGATCGGAAACGCGTCGCGTATCGTTTTTCCTTTTCGTTTCGAGGAACTGTCATTTATACACTTATTTGCTTCGACGGTAACATATGTACGGGTCGAAGCTCACTCTCCGACCGATCGAGCCGTTCTTCGATCGACGACCAGGCCCCATTTGCTATGTTGGGACGACAATGGGCGATCGGCGGTGACAAAAAATCGGCCGGACTGAATTAGCTACGCTTCCAAAGGAATGTTGCGGGACAACCGTTCAACTTTACCGATCCACCACTTTAATTCGTAGTTTCAACATCGGTACTTTTATGCTACATATCAAAAACAGCTCCACCAAACGCATCATCATCGGATCAACCGTAAAGATACCTATAAACGCACGCGACCGCGTTCAGCCCAGCTCGTTATAACAGCAGACCCGGCGATCGGTATGCAAAAGAAATCGATAAGAGCATCCTCGGAATTCTCGGATAATCACGTTACTCGTACACCCAAAGACATACATAATAAGTTATAGTAAGTACTCGCACACACACACACACACACTTGGTGTAATTGACATTTAACGCGGTGGATCTCATACCTCTGCGTGTGCGTCTCTATGGTGAAGATATCCACACAAGCACGATGCCCCATCCGCGGTGTAAGATCGGTAGGAGGTGCAGCGTACACCTCGTGTACAGAGCGAA